TTTCTTATTTTTCGCAGGGTCACGTGTCGCAAGGTCCGATACAGATTTCGTGACAGGCGCAACGCTTTCTGCAGGGCAGGCATGGCAGGAGCGTCACTTTCGCAAAAAAGACACGTGCACATCTCTTGGCGGACGCAGCACTTTCGCGTTGCGAGCAAGGAATGCCTCAAGCGCTGAGAGCCACCGGACAGAAAGGCCATGCGTGCGCATCTCACGTGCCACGTCAACTAACGTCCCCGACCTAGCGCCGAGCTAGCGCGAAGCTAGCGCTGCCAGTGGGATTTGTATGATTTAGGTGGGGGCCCGCTTCATGTCGAAAAGGAAAAAACAAGATGCAACAGGAATTATGAACATACTGTATATAGCTGCTTAGCCGGCCTTTTTGAACGGAAGCCATATAAGCAGAAAGGGTCTTCCCGAGCGGCGCACCGCCCCTCCCCCCTTTTACCCCCCCGAATGTGAAGAGTGCCATCTATGTTGCAGCTACCGGGTACACAACAAACTACAGCCTTCAGCATCGCGAATCCTTTTGAGATGCTTTTCCTTCTGTCTAGAACACAAAAGTCCACAGTCCCAACCATCCAAGGCGTGTGTATTATGCTGTAAGCGGCGTATGCACGCCAGGAACATACGCAACTACTCGGAAAGCAGCTCCTACTGCTCAGCACTTTGAAAACTTCTGCACGTCTTGGTGATGCTCCGGTGACTAGAATGTGCTGAAACATACAGATCCTTCACATGGGTTTAAGCAACAGGTTCCAACCATCATGCAGGTTTTGGCAGGGTCAAAAGAAGGGATGTGGAAAACATTATCCTTATCCAAACATCAAGCTGTCCAACTGTCGCCCTTCATCAACCAACAAAAGGATTAAACCAGGGACTCAATGAGTCATAATCAAGACTTGATTTTTTTGCAAAATCCCAATATCTATCCAAGATCAATAAGATCGCACCACAAGGGCAGCAGCTTCTATTGGCACCTCCCTCCACCCTCCGCTTGCACTTTGTTCGGCTTTGGCCTTAAAGGCTCTCAAGGGCGACAATCAGCAAAATCAGTGACATGGCCTCATGGGTCTTGTCCTGGTTGGTGACCTGCACACTTCCAGAGCCCCACCTGGGCGGTGCTGTTTTTCTGCTTGACTGTGGCCATTCTGCTGCATGCGTTGTCTCCTTTGAGGGACCCCATGTTTGGGGCCCATGTGAATTTGCAGGGGAGCAAACAGCCTCTGTCTTCCTCAGCAAGGCTCGCCCAAGACAACACATCATATTTCAATGAAGTCGGTGTTGGAAGGGCTTCCTGGTCTCTAAGCTGGGCTTCAGGCTGCATTGTGTGATACCACAAGCAACAATGGCTCTTAGACCGCATACAGCCGCATACACAAAGGTCGCATTGGTCGGTCACTAAGTTCTTCCTCAGCACGCTGGCATCCAGGTCCCAGCCCGACTGTTTGACAACGATTGAATGCGTTGCGTGCAGCTTCTGTATCAAAAAGTAACATCCGAAAGGTAATTACTTTCTTTGTCCATGCTACTGGCCAACGCCTGCATCTAGGTCCTACATCCGACAGCCCACGAGCAGCAAATGACGAGCACACACCACCCATGCCCGGAGTGCTTCATCCAATTTCTGCGGCTTCTGCGGCCGTTGGTCTTTTCCAAGGAGACTTAGCAGTCCCGACAAACACCGGGTGGCAAACTACCATGGCCTTCATATTTCCTGGGTGTCAGACTCTCGACATACCAGCACGCACTCTGAGCGGTGTGGACCTCAGTGGTGAATGAAGCAACTGCCAAGGCTGCTGAGCTAAGCCCGCCAACAACAGATTGCGTGTCCGGTTATCGGCTAGTCCAGTTACTTCGTGGCAGTCCTGTCGGCTCATGAACACTGCCTCTTCCATAAAACTCCCACTAGGACTGGGGAGGGGGGCCTGAAATTCAGACGCCTTTGGATGGTGCTTGAAGACGAAACGGGAATCATTCATTGGTCTGCCCACGCAGCCAGTTGCTTCAATCCCCAAGACCTCAAGCCAAGCTGGCTCGGGATCAATACTTTCTGGTTCTCCTGGCATGCTGCTTGTTATTGTTTGTTTGTTTGTCGACTAATCTGAGCGAAAGCCTGTCAATGGAGTGTGCCTATTCAGAGAAGCAAAGTTGCTTGGATGTCCTTCCACAGGGCTGACACTGACATCCCTTTAGGGGGTCTTTTTGATGAAGGTCACTATGAAAATCACTCAACAAAAAGAAAACCGTTGTCTTTTCCTACTCGTGCTCCCACATGCCTCCTGTTTGATTTTATCCTCAAGAGCCAACAGCTATTGACTTAGTGGATTGCATGGTTCTGTGTGGGAAAGGGTCCCCCGGGCCAGGAAAATGGAATAAGTTGCTGCTAAATCATCTAACCTTCGAATACCGCCGTAAACGGACGTGGCGATCATTTGCCTGGCCTTTACTCCGAGCCGCCCTGCATGCGGGAAGCTCATGCTCTGGATCCCCACACAGAAAGCAGGCCTGCAAATCGAAAAGGCATGAGCCAACGTGGTCATCACCACACAGAAAGAAACTACACCCAACAGAAATAACAAAGAATTGGCTCAACATTCAAAAGGTGGCTAATTCACGCACGGGCCGTTTGGATTTCCTGGGTTCGGCCCTCTCTAACATATCCTGACGTGGTGGTGCATCGCATCAAGGTTGCCATTCATTCAGCCCGTCAGATCTGGGTCAGGGGTTGAGAAAACACGACCCATCGGACCTTGTGCTTTTTCTTGTATGCGTAGAGAAAGAGAAAGAGAGAGCGAGAGAGAGAGAGAGAGAGCGAGAGAGAGAGAGCGAGAGAACAGGGAAAGACCGCAAAAATCGAGTTGTTGTGCAAACTTCAAGTGGTAGCTTCTGACAGGATGCAAAGTCGAAGCCTGCTTCAATGCAAGGCGCCTTTGGTTTCTAAAGGACTCATGAAAAGAGGTAAGGACAATTCTCCCCGTATAGGGACTGTACGCAATACTGAAACCCAATGCCAAAGCTCTGTGATGTCCATGTCAATGGCAACTGCTAAACAGGTTCCGGCAACGAGCCAGGCGATTGTGGGGCAGCCAATATCGTCTGTCGCGTGAAAACATAAGCATGCAACGATGGCCGAATTGCCAGGTTCCGTTGCCCATCCTGCCCATTTCTGCCGCCATGGGACCGCCTCTTTAGGGCTGTCGGCTGAGTGGTGGGCCTGGTGGCCTGAACTTTGGGGATCCGCGGCTTGGTTTTGGACCGTAACACCGCGCCTTGCGCAACTCCCGCTTCTGCCTGGCGATCGCTGAAAGCAAGCCAGCCGAAACTTGGCGGTGTGGAGTCCTGCGTGGAGAACACCCCACTTTTTGTGCCCCTCATGGTTCTGTTGTTTCATGCTTGACAAATTGAAGCTACATATTTTCGAGAAAAGTTTTCTAGTTCTGCTCCACAGCTGCTCTGTGTTTTGCATCTCTGGTTGGGCACCACGCGCGCCAAAAGTCTGTCGTGATGCTGCGAAACACGTGCAATCAACAATTTCCGTGTCAAACGAATTACTTTTCCAGTCACACTTGGGCTTGATCCCTTGCCAGCCTTGATTTGGCCAGCCGAATCACATTTACTTTGTTTAGTGGGCAACATTCACCTGAGCTCCAAGAGCACCTGTGGACTTGCAGCACATTCCTGAATCTGTCATTCTCGGCCAGCCACCATGCGATTTCAGGATTTCACTATGAAGTCAACCGACTTGCACAATTTTTGAGGGAACAACTGCACAGGATGAAGAGACTCCAACAAGCTCTTAATGCGTTGTATCAAGGCATCATCTGTAGGCAGGCATCACAGTAACAAATACTGCGACTCCGCTCCGCTCGTTTTTAGCTTCCGTGACTATATATTCCATATGACCGACGGCCCTCCTGCGGACGGCCAGCGGCAGACTCTAATGAAATTCCCCTGAATGGGTTCCGTACTCGCGAATCGCCCGATCCAGGGTCTACATGCTCTCATGGCGGTTTCAGGATCCGCCTGAATTTGGTCACCAGCACCCGAGAGGCAACAAGTCTCCGTAGCAAAAGACACGTACCTGAACCGTTCATGACTCTAGCATTGTCTGCTTTCTGGGGTGTGATTGGACCGAAACTCCATGCGAAGCTAGAATCAATTGATGTGATGCGAAAGTTGAGTTATCCCCACAGTTGTATCTCCACAAGCCAACACAAGACTAGAACTGTCTTTGTCAGTTGCTCGTGACAATCGTGCTACCGCGAACCAAATTCCTGGCTTCTGCCTCTTGCTTAAACACAATGCCGCTGAAGCTCGAGGTGTTCTGTTGACCTCAAACAGGCCCCAAATCGATTGAGCTTTGCGTTGTTTCACAGCGATTCAGGCTTTGTTGTTAGCGCAAAGCACGAACCCATACCCGGGGTACCAACAGACCTGAACGAAATGTAGCAACGAAAAAGCTGCTGCTCACAAACAAAACCGTCTGTCAGTGCGCCTTGCACGGAATTAGCGAGGCCTCTCTGCCGCTTGATTCGCTTGATTCAACTGATTCTGGTTAGGGCCTACATGTTTCAAACGGAAATGACAATCGATTGTCTTTCCAAGGGCATGCAAGAATCTTGGCAAAGTCATTTAGCTGACTGTATCGGTGCTGGTGGTGCATCCGCTGCAGCCTGCGCATTCAGTCCACGGAGCCAGGAGTGTGCGCTTTCTACATCACCATTTGCACATCAACCTTGCAGCTGTATCTCAAAGCATCAGCGTAAGCTGGTATTTGTCTGAAACATGTTGAATATCGAGGAGCTGGCCAAACCTGTGCAAGCTCTCCCCTGGACACGAATGCTGCCCACGAATTGACGTTCAGTGACATCGCATGTTCACCGCCCGCTCTGCTAGGTTCTGGTTTTCCTGAAAACGCGATCAAGCTGCTGCGCAGTAGAAAGCGTGAATATGTTCTAACAGGCTGCCATTCAGAACAGTACCAGAACCGCCGTGCATCAACCTCCCAAGGTTGACTCCACATTTGTGTGAGACCATGCGTCCGCCCAGCCGACCTGCAAATGGAATGTGGGCATAGCAGGGAATAGTTTCATCATTCGTTACAGACGTATTTTTGGTTTTGAAAGACCCAGTTGTTTGCATGAAATTCCAAACGCTCAGAAATGAGAACACCATGCCATGCCCTTCGAGGTACGTGTATACATCTGCATATTAAATATGTACATATATGGCTATGATTTTTTTTAGGGGTCTGTCACGCGCGACGCGCCACGAATCTTGTTGCGGAGGTCTGTAACCGAGGTCCTTGTTACGCAGGTCTGTAACGGGACAAACATTTCATGACAAGCAGTATCAGTAGCACAATGTAGCGCAGCACAACGAGGTATGTAATGGCTATGTAACGAGGTCTGTAACGAGGCAAAGCAAAGCGCAGGACGCAAAGCGCGCCTCCGCAGCTCCAGCTTGATTGCAGCTATTCAACGCAAGCCAAGCTGCGGCAAAAAGGGGGTCGCTGGCCCGGGCTGGGGTTGGGTCTGCAACGAGGTATGCAACGGCTATGTAACGAGGTCTGTAACGAGGCAAAGCGAAGCGCAGTACGCAAAGCGCGCCTCCGCAGCTCCAGCTTGATTGCAGCTATTCAACGCAAGCAAGCTGCGGCAAAAAGGGGCTGGGGTTGGGTCTGTAACGAGGTATGTAACGGCTACGTAGCGAGGTCTGTAACGAGGCAAAGCAAAGCGCAGCACGCAAAGCAAGCCTCCGCAGCTCTATTCAACGCAAGCCAAGCTGCGGCAAAAAGCGGGGTCGCTGGCCCGGGCTGGGGTTGGGTATGTAACGAGGTCTGTAACGAGGCAAAGCAAAGCACTTGATTGCAGCTATTCAACGCAAGCCAAGCTGCGGCAAACACAGGGCAGTCACGTCACTGGCCCGGTTTGTTCATCTGAGGTGTGTAACGAGGGCGTGTAACGATGGCATGTAACGAGGGTGTGTAACGAGGGTGTGTAACGAGGGGTGTGTAACGAGCCAGCTGGTTTTGTTACAGAGGTCTGTAACGAGGTCTGTAACGAATGTCCGCCGCGGCTCTGATACAGACCCCTCAAAAAATTCACAGCCATATATGTGCACATATGCGAGTATTGAGTATTAATTTGGTATGCTTATTCACATATGGTGGTTGCTCTAAAATCCTTTGTCTCGAAACGGCCATTCTTCGCGAAAAAAAGAAGTTGCTTTCGCGAATTTTTCGCGGATTCATCGCCGTGCACTTTTCATTGCTCAAGTCGGGAAGTCGCAGCTTTTAAGTCCCGGATAGTACCGGCTTAGTACGCGAAATAAATCTGCAACTTTTCATCGCAAGGGTAGTACATGACATGCACTTCCGCGGCTCCCGCTGGAAAGTCGCAACTTTTCAGCACCAGTGCACGAAATGCACTTCCGCAGTTCCAGCAGGAAAGCCGCGCAGCCCCAGCTTGAAGCTGCAACTTTTCAGAACCAAGCTAGTACTCTGACTAGCGCGGCGCTCAGAAAGTACCTCAATCGAAGCCTGCGCTTTCGCGTCACCATCGGCTTTCAATAAAGCCACCGACTAACAACCAGCGAAGCAGGGTATCAAACTGTAGCGTCACCATGGGCTTTATCAGGGGACAAAAAACAAAATGTTTTAATCAGCTTAGAAGAAAGATTCAGCAGAAAAGATGAGTGTTTTCACATATTGCTGATTTACAAGATGCAGCTACGCAAAACTTTCGCGAACAAAAGTTACTTTCGCAAGTCCATCGCGAATCTTTCGCGGAGCTACCTCAACCAACACCGACGGTCACCGAATACTAAACTCCTTACAAGAACCTTTAGAACAACTCCCATATCTAGCCATACTTCAACCTGGAAGATGTCAACCATGGCGCCACAGAGAGAAACTCCTCTTTTTCATGGGGCAGCGCCTATGGCTCTGAAGGCTAGCCGCGAGGCATGCCTCCTCAGGTTACGCGCTACTTGGAGAATGAACCATTGGCAATTCATCACAGTGCTCCAAACGGCTTGTTCGCACTGACTGGCCATTGCACAGCAATGAGGGGCATATTGCATGCGCTTCTGTCCCCGTTTTTTGGAGGGGTTGAAAACATCTCCCATAATGGATTCTGAATTAGGAAAAAGGTCCCCTCGAGGTCCTCCCTTCGATGTTCCTCCCCTCGATGTTGCAAGCTGAATCAAAGCACATTTGGAAACGCATAGGCTCCGTGCTTCCGACTACCTCGGACAATGTGGAGAACAGGCATAGGGCTTCTGAACGAGCTGCAGACTATTTCAAACAGGGCCCAAGCTTTGACAGGTCCCGCATCCAGTCCGATCATGTCAACGCAGCCGACAAACTGCCTTCTTGAGAAGCTCGGCAAGGTGCTCCTGGCAGCTTGACGAAATTGTACAAAGCACACACAAGGTATCAGTTTTACCCTATTAGGATTCTCGGCTTTGGCATGAGCCGCTTGGTGGGGCTATCCTCCTTCAGCCTGTGCCTTAGCCAGTCATGATCGCTCTGGTTTATATCGTCAGTGGCCGTGAAGAGCCACTGAAGCAAAGGTGTTTACATGCTCCTCATCCTACATTCAAGAAATTCACAGTGTTCTTGTGGCACCTGGTGCTTCGAACTTGTTTCTACCAGCGGCACATAGAACGATCCACAAAAAAAAGAAGAACAAAAAACACGAGCACTACTGGTAAAAACAATCTGCGCCTGGTACTCCGTCGAGTCCATGTCCAGCTCAATGCCTGAGGCTACGGGCTCCATCCAAGTGAATCTGCTTTTAGTCTGGAGAGAATCAGAGACGGTACTTTCTTGTAAGATACCTTTTGGTGGAAACAGTCCTCATCGCTGCACCTATATTATGTTATGAATGTATATATCCATATACATAAATAACAAGTTGCACAGCTGAGCTTCTCAACACAAACCTCACGTATTGTGAGCTTCAACTTGCGTCACCTGGTACGAAGTCGATTCAGTTGCTGGCTCTCTGATTGATCCGTGTACATGCTTTTTCGTTCTTCGATTGTAATCCAATGAACACCTCTGCAAAACGTTCTGAGCAGGAGTGGATGTCTTTTAGTTGAAGCTCACAGACCGAAGGCAACAGCAACTCTCTAAGAACAACGCTACATAAACCCCAATGGATGAAACAGCAAATTGAGTAAGGTGGAGTGGGTGCATGGTCAGCAATGGAAGCAGGATACTAAATCAATCCACCCATCTCCACAAAGTAGTGCTGAAATACCGCAGCAGCATAGTGCATCGTGAACACGGGCGCAGGGCAATGCCCATTCCAACGGGAGCCCTATTTGGTTGTTCACTCCCTAAGGGTCCACGGCCATGGTTCCCTCGATGGGGATCCGTAGGCTAAGCGAAGTTCGTGAATATCCCCAAACTAGATCCAGTTCTGGCCATGGCTTATGAGACAAAGAGGGACTTGGACGAGACACGGAAAAGTCTGCTCAAAAGTGTGCTCAGTGGGCAACAGCGCAAACACAATTCAGTACATAACGCAAGCGCTCACTGTTCAACGGGGAAGACCCCACACATACACTTTGCAGGGATGGTATATGGCCAACACAGAATATGCTGGAAATCCATCTTAACATGTCTGACCTAGTGTCAAACTCCAGTCCAAGAGTTGTTTTTTCAAGCAAAAAGCTTTCAAGCGAGGGCTATCAAACGTGAAAGATCCTTGAAAACTAAAGGGGTTCAGCTGTCCTCCCAGATCCAGGCCTTTCTCATCGCAGAAGACCAGGTCGTACCTCCGCAGCGAAAGCAGCTGGCGTGGGACATGCAAGAACCCATGCTGAACCCGGGTTCATTGAATTGCCCACGCACAAATGCTTCAAACATTATCCTCAACAATCTCCGTATTTTGGGTTGCCCATCCTGAGCAAACCGCTTGGGTTTTCACAACGCATGGCTTACAGCTTGTTGCCAGACTGTCCAGTCAAGTCGTGGAAAACAGCAACCATTAAAAATCGTGATTTCAGTATATACTGTGAGTCGCCAGAAGGAACTGCCAAGACCAAACTCCAACTTCCACGCTGCGCCTCTTCCTTTCCGGCTCAGGTTGGCCTCCTTAGTCGAGTCCGAGGATTGGAAAACAAAGGCAGCCTTGGTTCCCCTACCCAGGAATAAACCAAAAGGTATGTTTGTCACCATCAGAGACGCTCTGGAATGTGCGAAAACATACAACATACATGAATGCCGTGACCCCCCTTCGAAAGCAGTAACAAACAATGTAGGGAACAACTGCATCGAGTGATGCGCAAATAGATATTCGCGGTCGCCGACGTGACTGATGGGAACTAAGTGCCTGGCGAAGTGTTGATGCCAAAACCTCCTTGCAGCCTGGCTTGACCTTGGTGATCCGTACTTGGCCCCCGACATGCGAAATAATTAATATCATCAGTGCGAAATATTGAATGGGAATGTGGCACACAAACGAGCTGGACTGCAAGCTGCGCAAGGTCAACAAAGTCATTGGAAGACCTGCACAATCATCTGCTAGCTGTCCAAGTGCTCTGTACTGATTTGGAAGTCGCCAAGCCGCAACCTTTCATGCGCTGGGGCACCGGCTTGCTGCCCTGTTGTTTGTTGGCCAGTTCCTGGGCAAGGCGCATACCAAACACTCTAGCCACCATCAGATAGCTAGACTGGACACAATTTGTCTTTTGCCCCCGCCTTTGGACACGCCCTTACATGAGTGAAAAATGCGAAAAAGTGCTAGAACATGGAACTATGAAAATATCACCAATGGTGTCCTCAAGCCAAAGACCTGTCCTTGGTTGGGCTCATGCCTGACCCACCCTTGCGCCCTGCTCGAATGTGGCGCACTTCTGAGCCCATGGCTTCGTATCGGCCTGGCACTGGGTCAGATGCAAACATGGCACGGCATGGGCGACCAAATGCGACCAATACACCAAAAAGAACAGCTACCTATAGCTACCTGTACAATGGTCTGGCTTGACCCACCAGAATCCCTAAGTTGCGAGTTGTGCCAATACTTCCAACGTGTCCCCAAGCACCTTCAGGCCCAGTGGATTCTGATCGCATCTCAGAGAGTTGCGCTCTTATGCGCTCTTTCTGGGAGTCCCTGAAATCTGCCACAAGCCAGAGAACACGCTCACAACACCGCGCTGCATCAACTTCTTGCCTTTCGCTGTCGGCTCGTTGAAGTCGCACGACAAATTCACAAGCAGTGACGGATTGGCTGCAAAGTGTCTGATTTGCCTCATTTTGCTACTTAGTCGGAACCGCCCCGTGCATCTCCGGAACCGCGGAAGCCTCGCGGAACCCTTGCGGAACCCTCACAGCACTTTCGCGGAACCCTGCAAAACCTTACCTTGCCTGGACCACCCGGAGCCTATCCCGGTGACCCCATCACTTTCAGCTGTTGGGTGAAAACAACTAAACTCCAACACGGGGGGGTACGGGGGGCCCGGTTTGAACTTGGACTTGCCGGACTTAATTTGTGCATAGTACTGCCAATACTTTTTCTCAGATTCCCAGTACTTCATTTGGTATTGACAATTCCACAGTAATTTAGTATTGCTGCACTTTTTCCCCGATTGCTTGTTTTGGGACGGGGAAGGGGGGTGGGGTGAAAGCAACTTTCCGAAATAGCGAACAGCGAAATCGAGGAAAAAACAAACTGTCTATATACTAGTTACTAGGAGACAACTTTTAGGTCCAACATTGCACAAAACAACCACAGCAAGCCCAAAATAGAGAACCCCGCACCTCTTCCCAGCGGGCCCGGGAGCCTGGCCAAAAGCTTGTCATCCCCAAGTGGATGATTCCAAAGGCAAAATAACTTTGACCCGGAAACTATCTCCATAGTATACAGAAATGATGAGAACAGTTCATGTGTAACCGATCTACAATTTCTACGCGCTCACTAACTGGAATTGAATTGACACATAACGTACCATTGCCTGCCACAGTGCGATGCCCGTTTGCTCTGCAAAAAAGTTGGAGACTGTGCCAACAACAAACCACCCAACCACTCTCCTAAGAACCGCCTACGCAGGATACGCCGAAAGTTTCAGCTCGTGTGCCTTGATGCGCTAGCTCAAAACGGTGTCCCAGTGCCAAAGAAATCAGCCATGTGTCGCACTGTCCACAGGCTCAAGTACCTCAAGCACAATCTGCAACAAAAGCTGGCCAGAATGAGCGTCGCACTGGATTCTGAATTGGCCACCATTGAGGGGGAGTCTTGATCGCGCTATTCCCTGTAGAAACCATGTTGCTATCATCACATTGACATACCCCCCTCATTGCCAGGGTCCGCTTGATATCCTTCCGTTTTGGGACGGAAACACGATGCTCCGCAGGCTTGCCATCTTAGCCATGAGCTGCTGCTCGGCATTCCGACACCAGGTGTGGCAGTCCAACAGTTTCTGAAACGGCCCACCCACTTGGGCTGGTCGCAATGAATCCTACCAAAAGGCAAGGAAGTCTTCAAAGCGGTGGTGCAGGGTCTCCATCATCATTGCCCAGCCCAAAGGTCTAAAAACGTGCTACTGCCAATGTCTGTTCCTTCTCTCCTGTTTCCAACTTGGATCCCTCCAGTTGCTTGCGTTTGTTCTGTTTGCTGATGCTGCCTTTTTTTGCATTGCTGTGTTTTTGCGCTTGTGTTTGCATGTTTGCGCGCTTGCGCGCTTGTGCCTGTGTGCGTGTTCAGTGTGGGCGCGTAGGTGGGTCTAAGTGGGGGGTGGGATGGAAGTAGGTGGGTAAGGCAGGTGGTGGGTGGGTGGGGCATGGGTGGGTGGGTGCATGGGTGGGTGGGTGGGGCATGGGTGGGTGGGTGGGGCATGGGTGGGTGGGTGGGTGGGTGGGGCATGGGTGGGTGGGTGGGTGGGGGGGGTGCATGGGGGTGGGTGGGTGGGTGGGTGCATGGGTGGGTGGGTGGGTGGGTGGGGCATGGGTGGGTGGTGGGGCATGGGTGGGTGCATGGGTGGGTGGGTGGGTTGGGTGGGGCATGGAGGGTGGGTGGGTGGGGTGGGCGCATGGGTGGTGGGTGGGTGGCGCATTGGTGTGTGGGTGGGTGGCGCATGGGTGGGGGGGTGGCGCATGGGTGGGTGGGTGGCGCATGGGTGGGTGGGTGGGGCATGGGTGGGTGGGTGGGGCATGGGTGGGTGGGTGGGGCATGGGTGGGTGGGTGGGGCATGGGTGGGGCATGGGTGGGTGGCGCATGGGGTGGGTGGTGCATGGGTGGGTGGCGCATGGGTGGGTGGCGCATGGGTGGGTGGTGCATGGGTGGTGGTGGGGTGGTGGGTTGCATGGGTGGGTGGTTGCATGCATGGGTGGGTGGTGCATGGGCGGGTGGTGCATGGGCGAGTGGTGCATGGGTGGGCGTGGCAAGGGTGGGTGGGGCATGGGTGGGTGGCGCATGGGTAGGTGGTGCATGGGTGGTGGTGCATGGCATGGGTGGTGGTGCAATGGGCGGTGGTGCATGGGCGAGTGGTGCATGCGGGGCATGGGTGGGTGGGGCATGGGTGGGTGGCGCATGGTAGGGTGGTGCATGGGTGGGTGGTGCATGGCATGGGTGCATGGGTGGGTGGTGCATGGGCGGGTGGTGCATAGGCGGGTGGTGCATGGGTGGGTGGTGCATGGTGGGTGGGTGGGTGCTGCATGGTGGGTGGTGCATGGGTGGGTGGTGCATGGTGGGTGCATGGGTGGGTGGCGCATGGGTGGGTGGTGCATGGGTGGGTGGTGCATTGGTGGGCGGTGCATGGGTGGGTGGCGCATGGGTGTGGGTGGGTGGTGCATGGGTGGGTGGCGCATGGGTGGGTGGCGCATTGGTGGGTGGTGCATGGGTGGGATTTGCATGGGTGGGTGGTGCATGGGTGGGTGGTGCATTGGTGGGCGGTGCATGGGTGGGTGGCGCATGGGTGTGGGTGGGTGGTGCATGGGTGGGTGGCGCATGGGTGGGTGGCGCATTGGTGGGTGGTGCATGGGTGGGATTTGCATGGGTGGGTGGTGCATGGGTGGGTGGTGCATTGGTGGGCGGTGCATGGGTGGGTGGCGCATGGGTGTGGGTGGGTGGTGCATGGGTGGGTGGCGCATGGGTGGGTGGCGCATTGGTGGGTGGTGCATGGGTGGGATTTGCATGGGTGGGTGGTGCATGGGTGGGTGGTGCATTGGTGGGTGGTGCATGGGTGGGTGGTGCATGGGTGCATTGTTACGAAAAAAGTCACTTCGCTAGATCACTGATTTCCATTCATCTAAATAAGGCCTCCCCATGTTAAGAGCTACATACGTCACGTTTCGCGGAGCCAACCCCCCTCTTCTCCCCAGCGCGACCGGGCCTTGGCCGAGGCCTTGGCGGCGATCTGTTGTCTGGACTTCCTGAGGGCAAGCTCGACTAGGTGTGGGACCTGGAATTGTCGCAATTAAGTCCTGTCCATGCTGCAATCCGTACAAAACCATGGTCTCCGCTCAAAACGCTAGCGGTGTGCGGGGAAGCTGTACGAACTCAGGCACTGAGCATAGTTAGTCGGGAGGAAGCATGGTGCCAAGTGATGATTGAAGCAGCCAAGCTGCTAGCAAGAACAAAGCAGTTGAGAGTGCCGCCAAAGCCGAAATCTGTAGAAGGGCCTGTTGAAACCCTGCCCCATACACCAGGGCCTACCGCAGCAGTGTGCTATGGCTGGGATCATCCTCATAGCCCCACGAAAATTGAGTTCAAGAATTCGCATGAGGAGTGGCTTGACATGTTTGCCAACTGAGACGCTTGTACTCCTTGCTGGCGCAGCCCAAAGTGAACATGGCAAATCATTGAGAATGCCGGAAAAGCCCTGTCCTGCATAGCTGCTTCACACTCAGTAGCATGCCAGGACAGGCAATGCAGAGCAGAACATGACCTACATGATACACGCCTCTAAGGCTCTTTGACCGGGATAAAGGCCGTTCGTCAGGAAGTCAACATGATCTTTGAATTCCTGACTTCATAGAATTGGCACCCCCAACACAGGCCATAAACAAAAATCCACTCGTATGACTGAGGCAATTTGTATCAAATCTCAACTGAAACAAGAGAACAGCCTGCTAGTTGCATTCAAATTGTGAGAACCTCGATGATCGGGCTACTCTGAGGATAGTTAGTGTTGAAAGGTGGGATCTACCTAAAAGTCAGCACGGGCAGCAGCTTGTTTTTCTTGAGCCATTGTCATGTCGGTATGCCATTACCTATCAACACCCCCCGCTTTGCAGAGGTGCGTCGGTGAGAACAGTACTTTGTACACGTTTCTCCCCCCATGCCTGAAGCAAAGTCCTCTGAGGTCAAGGCAGTGAAGACGTAGAGCCTCAGTGGGATAGGTGGCAAGCCATGGTGATATGAGGCCTCATGCGTCAATGGTCGCTGCAACTGCGATGCATTTGGACTTTTGCAGGAGCGTGCCATCCGAATCGGCCGACCACGACTTCCGTCGGGCAAAACACATGTGATTTCCATGTGAATGCTTGAAACTGAATTCACACTGTTGCCAACAGCGAAGGTGATCTCACGACCACAGCCTCCGCTGGGCAATACTGAAATGACATCCGGTGGTGGCGGCCGTGGATTGACCTACGGCCGCAGCTTCCGCCGGGCGTGCAAACTTGGCACTGCTAATGTTGCGGCATCAATGGATGAAAGATAATAGTTTTGAACATGACATCACCAATGAAATTGAAATGGTTACCACAACATAAGCAAACTTTTGTAATTGATGCGGGCGCTCACCATCCCCACGGACCCTGACGCCATTGATGCCATCCAGAGGACCACCCGTACCAAGAGCTCCAGTCCTGACGCCCCGTGCTCTTGCCTTTGCCCTTGCCCTTTCCTTTGGTGTAGGGCTCGGGGCGAATGGACCGGGTGATCGCCCTCCACTGGGTGTTCCTCGCCTCAACAGGATAGGTCCGCGTCCGGCCGGAGGAAAACCGCGGGATTTCCAGTTCACCGGTGCTGATGGTGCCCTGGGAGTCGAACTTGATCCAGGAGGCCCGAATGAAACTGGTCATGACCTCCAAAATTCTTTCGACGTTCCCTTCCGGGACGTATGATCCGCTGTGCCCGATGATGATCGGCACTTGGTTGCCCGGGATGAAGCGGTAGGCACACATGACTGCGAATTGAGTGATGGTGTAAAACCTCGCGTGGTGGGCGATGAATGCTTCCGTGGAAACGTTGAGCTCATGGGGGTCGCGCTTATTCAGATTCGGGATGAACACCAGCTTGGTTCCGGTGTTTTGGGATCCGCCTCTCTCGCGCTCCTCCCTGGTACGGCCTGGGTCAGCAACAACCGCACGGGCAATCCGGCCAAGGAAATCGAGGCTCTCAGGGGTTAGCCCTTGCGTGGCACAGTTGTATGCGTAGAAGGGGTCGACCGAGAGCCGGTCGGATACCTTCTCGCACCCCATCGCCAACGCCTTGGTCAGATGCGTCTTTGCCGTCTTCCTGAGTGACGCTTCGACGGAGATTCCTCCCCGCTTCTCACCTTCCTTGAAGTGATGCTTGGAACGGATCCACTTCCCTCCGCCACCTTGCAAATCCTCCAGGTAGAAAACCATGCCCTGGAGGGATGCCGTGTGCTCGAGGCGTACCACCTCAGTGGCAATGCGTGCGTCCGTCCAAGCCACCATGTCCGTCCGGCATTCCTGACACAACAGGTAGCCGTCGATCTGTTGGTTGTTGCACCTCCGGTTCCAACATTTTACGACCGGAATCTTCATCATGGTCGTGAACAGGAGGTCCTCCCAACGTGGCTCGCTCTGGTAGCGGTTCCGGAGGTTGTTCCAGCCGCGACCATGCCCTTTCTCCCCCCTGGAGAGCTCGGGCACCCTCCGAAGAGTCGCAGGCGCAACCTGATAGGTCGGGCCTGCAGGTCTTTCATTCGACTTCCCCTTCCGGGGAGCGAGCTCATCGATCGTCTCAATTTCGGTGACGGAACCCGGAAGCAGCTTGCCGTTCTTCGTCCCCTCAACGACGGTCCGCCAATGCCTCCAGGCCTTCTCTGCGGTGAGGGTGTTCTCACTTCGGAAAAAGTTTGGGTTGACGTCGTGAGGCCCAGGCGCGAGCTCGGTCGTCAGTGCCTCGCGATACCGCTTGCGAAGCTCTGGGTATGCCCGGTTGAAGTAAAGGAATTCATTTTTGCGGGTATGGAAGGCGTATATGACATAGGCGTTTCCAACCCAGTCCGCGGACATGAAGGCCTCATCACTTGTGAATAGCCTGATCCCGTCCTGCATCATGAGCTCAGTGTCAAATGCAATTGTGACGGGCCTTCCGGCTCGCGTGCCTGCCAGCTTCCTCATCTGCGCCTCCCAGGGTGGCGTTGGGTTGAAGTAGACGTGGGCCCTGCCTGTCGACTTCGGATAGCCCCCCGGAACCAGGCCGAACTTGAGGATACTCTCGGCCGATCTGAGGTCGCAGGTGTGATAAAGGACAGCCGGAAAGCCTCGGCGCCATTGGTCAGTAAGTTCCGGGTGCCGCACAGCCCTCGGGTACTGGCCGGCGAGGTACTTGGCCGCGGTGAACTCCTCGTCAAAGGAATACAAATTTGTCAGGATCGCCTGCTCGGTGTATTTCCTTGTGAGCTCGTTGTGGTGTCCTTGCACGGCCCTCACCCGCAAAGCCTGATACGGCAATCCTTTCCAGGATGCTTCCCCCAATGGAGGGGGCCCAACCATCACGCGGAATCTGCGGGTGTTATTGTTCCGGATGCAGATCATCACCTCCCAGGGCATGACGTTGGCGATCCGGTCATTCAGATGCCTGACCAGCGCATCGAATTCCACCGACAGGTCAATGCCGCGAAACGGCGGGTGGGGCTTGCCGTCCTTGAATGCCCCTCCCCGGAGGAAATAGGACATTTTCTTCGAAATTGCTACCAGTCGGTAGTCTCGGTCCATGTTGACCTTCGGGACGTGCCCCATGTCCTCGACCTCGAGCCATTCGCTCTGCTCCTCGGCCGGGACCTTGGTATTGATCTTCCGGGTCCTCGCCCAGTCTTCCCAGAAGATCTTCTCTTGCTTAGGGTCTTTCTGCCTTTTCGACCGGGGTTCCCCCTCGGCGTTGCCCGGCGGCACCTTGGCCTTCGCAACCCTCGGCATCGCCTTCACCTGGGGCTTGTCGGTCGAGCCTGCAGCCGTGGGGTCCGACTCGTCTCCAATCTCAATGAAACCAGTCGACTGGGGTTCCCCCACAGCGTGCTTGCTAGCAGTTCCGCGCCTTGACGGCGGCGGGGTTGGTGGTTGCTTGGATGTGCTGGTGCCCTCCGTCACGGATTCGAAAGCGACCGACTCCGCGGTGATCATGGAACTCATCCCTGCCGCCTCGGACTCATCAGCCTCCGACACCAGCTCCACAGACGCCACAGTTTCTTGATCGAAAAGGTCTCCTTCCGCTATGATTATCGACTGGCCTTCCGGCGCAGCACGGTGAACTCCCGGGGGCAAATTCTCCGCATCCCATCCGAAGTCATGGGTGTCATCCCCCAGCAAGAGCCATTTGTCCTTGTCCTCGTCGTCGGGAACCTTGGACAGTCCGTGCTTCTCCGCCGTGATGTCGATGTACTGGGACATCGCAACCTCCACCCGGTCGAGTTCATCATCGGAGTTTTCCTCTCCTTTGTCAACGGCTTCGAGGACGATCTCGGACTCGTCAACTTTGGCTCCCTGCATGTCGATGGTGATGGCGTTATAGGATTCGTCCTCCGCCACCTTCATCCATGCCGCAACGTCGACGTCGATTTCTTCGCCCTCCTGGTCGTGAGACCAGTCGGGCTTCTCCTCCATGGCCGCGAACTCGTGAAGTGCTTTGGCTAGCTTCAAGCACGTTGGCCAGCCGAAAAGCACGGGGTCAACCGGCTCACCCTTCACGTAGGGCTCGACCCTCCCAATCGCTGGGAGGGCGTACCTGATCCGCTGGGCCAACAACTGTGTGTTGATTGCCGCATGAAGGAATTTCGACACAACCTTCCGGTTGGCATTGCTGTATGTCATGTGCACGTCATCGTACCTGTGCGCTAGCAATGTCATAACCGATGGGTCGATCGAGTCGATAGCCTTGACGCGGGTCCCGTCGTCGATGTCCCCGTCGGCCAGGTACCGAAGGCAGCCGTTCATAGCCTCGTTGTAATCGGACGTTAGGGCATAGTCCTCAGCGTCCGGGTTGCTGATGAAGGTAATGTCTCGAATGCGCCCGAGCCCAACCGCCTCCTTGAAGAAGTCAAGCTGCTCGTACACGCGAGTCCTCTGAACCTTCGGCCACTCTGACGCGGCCTTCCGGCCCGCCTCCGTTCGGTTGAACCTTTTCTCATGGATCCATCTGCACCCCACGAAACCATAGTTGCCGAAGACATCGT